TATATATATATATATATATATATATATATATATATAGTGTTTTCCCTGCATTGACACGAGCGAGGTGGGCCGCCTCGCTCAAATTCTCAGCCGCCACAGAAATTTGTCCAAACCACCGCCTCGCCTGTGTCCAAAGCCTCACTGATGAAAACTTTTGACTTGTGTTGATGTTTGATGTGTTCAGAATAGCTTAGAATGCACCAAATTGCACTATTTATCAAAAAATTCCCAGGGAAGCATGCCCCGACCCCTTAGCTTTGACAGCACCTATGCTGCTCGCTTTACTAGGACCTCGAAACGCACAAATACATTACAAAAAACATTTACCACCTCACAGACCTCTTTGGCCAGGGGAAACACTGTATATATATATATATATATAAAGAGAGAGATGAATTAATGTGACTTCTCCTACTGGATACAGCGTAGTATCAAAGTAAGAGTGCGTTTACGCAAACCTGTGAAAATGCCACTACAAGAGAATTTACACGTGCTGACCTCTGGTGGTGGTAACAGTGGTGCCTCGGTTTTATCTGTGCCAGCGTCAATGAAGAACAGATCTGTGCCTTCACTGCTATCCGGTACATGCCATGACGACGTCTCAGACGACGCGTTCATTGAAAATGTCTGCGGCACAAAAGAACACGCATGAATAGAGCATTACAAACTAAATGTAGCATCCTAGGACCTGTTGTCCGAATCTTAACCTTCGTCCTAACAGTCACATTTTTTTATAGACCAAACTTCTATACATCATGTATAAGAATCTTATATCTTAATGATGTTTCTGTCTACAGTTTACAAGACAAAGTTAATGCTAAGACTAATTTCAAGACTACTTTTGTTTCTGATAAAGTCCCCATGAATTACACGTCCAATGATATACATGTAATCCTGTCACACATTGCGAAATGAATCGTGGATCGAAGTCAAGCAACTAAATTGTGTTGTGTAAATTTCACTAGTGTCATGTGTCACAGACAGATTTACTGTAACCACTTGATATGACACTCACATCCAGTATGTTGTTGCAAAATGGTGTCTGTCGTTTCTTCATCAGGAACTTGGTGATCTCCAGTCCGTCCTCTCTCATGCTCTCTGGGATCCCTGCCACCAGCATCATACTGACCTTCTCCAGCCAGTCCAGAAACCTTGATGGTGCTGCCACCATGTATGCTTTCTGCAAAACGAATAATGAAAATTTAATCACCACTATAACTGAAAGTAAACTATAACTGGCACTCTGCCATGTACTGATAGAAATACAAACAAGTGCCGCAGAGCGACAGCGCCCACCTGACGGCAGGTGTTCTGATGCTAAACTCACTGGCAAACGAATGAAGAGCACCGTCCCATCCCCGCGTTCGTGCTCAGAGCATATATCTAGGATACTACTAATACAGATCTAAAATCTATGATAGCTAGGCTTTGCTATACCGGTAGTACAGTAATAAAGATACAGCTGTGACTTCGCTATATTAACATGTTATCATGGATATGTGTCGAGCGCGAGCGTAGTGGTGGTGGTGGGGGGAGAGTGGGAAAGGGGGCGGGTGAAGGATGCTCTAATAGCAAAAGCAGTTGCCGCGAGATGGCGCATGCAAGTGTCATCAATAATCAAAGATGGGATCACCCTTCGTGCGTGATAACCTCACTCCATTGAGTTGCAGGCAGGGCAGGAGTATATTCAGGCAAGGAGAATTTCGCTCAGCTGTGAGTTAACACATCTGCATTGCAGGTTATTATGATTAGAATAATTATGATTAGAATAGTGCCAGTTCACCCCCATGCATGCGTAATGGGCTGCCCCCATGTTTTTGCCTGCCTACGAGCAGTCAGGGTTCATTACAGTGTGCTAATACAGGGTGCTACTCAGTGTGCTAATACAGAGACTGCTTTAGAAAATATCATGATTTAAGGAGCGTAAACCTTGTTCAACAAACATTTGCCTTTGCAATTGTACTGTGCAACTGTAGCCTCACATCCACAATAGCAAAAGCAGTTCAGGCCTTTGTTAACAGTCAACAAATCCATGTTTAACCCTCCTCTTGAGGGTCAAAAGGTTATCCGACACTTACTCTTCGCATGTCAGCAGAAGGGACATTTCATGGTCCTTTCAATAAAGCCATAAAAATGCTAGGTCACCGCTGAAACAAAAAAGTTTTTCAATCGCTCCGTCAGACCATGTCCTCAGAAAATGTATAAAATCTGCCCTGTGCCCACTGACCTTTGACCTGTGACCTCCAATTTCGGCACAGTGATGGCTTTTCCTACCATGATGCGATACACCGACTATCACGAGCCTAGGTCGAGCCGTTTAGATTTGTGCCGCAATTCTGCATTTCCTCCCTATACCTTAAGTTAAGGAGTGAATGTTCCCCCTTCTTTTACACCTCTTGACCTTTGACCTTTGACCCCCAGCTTCGACATCCCAACTCGTTTTGACGATCCCCCCCAACGACCCGAATATCGTGACCGTACGTCGAGCGGTTAAGATTTGTGCCCAACTGTTGACGCACGGACGCACGGACGGACGCACGGACGGACGATCGTGCGATTCTACAAGCTGCATCTGACTATGTCAGATGAGCTAAAAAAACTAGTTCACACTCAGCCTAACCTTAAGAATAAACAAAAACAAAAACTAAATAAATATATAATGCATGTATATAACTATTATGTATGTATGCATGTGTGCGTGTGCATACTTATGCGACAAGTTAAATATCGGTGCAAAAACGTCTACTATTCTCACAAGAACGACAACGTAAAATGTTCGTCTAACGTCAGCTTTTCCGCTGCAAGCATTTTCCGTGGTCCCAAAAATATTTGCATATAAATTATATGCAATAAAGATTTAATAATAATAATAAAAAGCCGCGACCTTGGCTCGTGAACGACACCACCGACCTTTCTTAGCTGTCTGGTCCTCTCCTTGCCGGCTACCCTCCGCGCTGTCTTCACGGCAAGCACGAACTTCACGTACTGAGTACAGCTGAGTGGCCGTGGCACGCCCGCTAGCACGTGCTCCACAAGCGGCCACAGCACCTCCAGGTGGTGCTTATCGAACAGCGACACCTGGATGATCACGTCCAGCTTGTACGGCTGGTGCTTCGCCGCACCTGTAATCAGGGATGTGAGTAAACACATTTTATTAAAATTAATACAATGTGTTTTACTTGTTGATAAATTATACAAAGTCATTTGTGTTATTGTTATATTATACACACGTTCTTACATCATGTGTACATGTAACACATGTATGTACAGAGAAGAATCTTATTGAATAAATGTACTGTTGAGAGTTGAAATACAGATTTTACATTCTTAACCTTATCACCCCAAAAAAATGCTCACTAAATTTAGACGTTTCACAAAATCGACCCTAGGGACTGTCAGAACCGGGATATTTCTTGGATCTGAGAAAAATTCTCATCTCTGTGTAATGCACATCATGATGGTACACGGACAGGTTCGCATGGCAATTATTCCTCGTCAAAGCAGGAAGCAGCAAAACCGAGAAAGCGGGATGCACAAAACCGTGTACGTAATGTTATTCGAGTAAATCGGTGGTGACACAAACTTCAAAAGGTTAATGTTATACCCTGTTTCTGTACGATAAATTGAATGCATACCTAACAAGGTTTCCATGAGAACAGACACCTTCTTCCCCAGGTAGGACTTGCCCTCAATTTTACTAGAGCAAATAGCTTCTAGATCTATGTACATTGACAAGATGGCAGAAACCAAGTCTCCATAGCTAGGAGATGTCGCAAACTGTGATAGACAATTAAATATGTACTTAAAGAAAAAATAAATGTTCGGTTGAAAGACGATTAAATACTGAAATCAATAGCAATCTCGTTTGCAATCAAATATCCTATACTATACCATCTGGGTGATGAATAGTTTAAATATATCTCTTGTATAATATATTCTAAACATTTAATTCGATACAAAATAAGATATATTAACTGATGACGATATGAAATAGTGGACTATGATTTTGATAAGTCTTATCAACAAGTTTGATTAATCCTAGCCTCTTGATCCTTATAGTGCGGCCAAACATGAAAATACCTCATTCAGACATTTCATCCTGGCTTGGGAGAACGTCAGAATATCAACAATATAATCGGCCAACAATCTAGAACGTTTCACTTTACTTCCTTCCACGCAAATTTGTACATCTGCAGCGATCATTCTGAAACAAGAAATGTGGAACAGCATATGAAGTCATCACCTACACACACACAATCAAATTTTGCCCCAACCCTCTATTTCATATGGCAGTTCTATTTTAATGTTCAACTGCTCTCGGTACAAGAATAGCGGGAAAAAAAACACTACCACACAAATATATACACAGTCACGCAATACGACTCACTCCAATCAGCTCTCTTAACACATTTTCACTACATCTATGTTTTATCTCTGATTAGATATCGATGCTTATACTGTGAGCTGTGCGACACGGCTTTTCACTCACCGTAATAATTTTATCATGAATTCCTGCATTGCCACACTTGTGCCTACGTCAACTATGAGTAGCATGTGTGTCCTGAGCTCCGTCAGCCAGGGAAAGCTTTTGCATCCTCGTCCTAGCTTCCTGCTCTCACACAACTGTGTAACAGATTAACGTTATTGCGCTACACATTTCTAACATATACATCTCCTACGACACATGCACACACGCACGCACGCACGCACGCACGCACGCACGCACGCACGCACGCACACGCACACATGCGTGTCCCTTTCACTTATTATTAAAGATTGATAACACCAGGAGTGTATGATACAGATATTCTCTATTATATTATACACTCCTGATAAAACCTAAACATATACCTTCGTAAAGATGTCTTCATCCTGGAGTTGATTTTGTGGTGAATTATGCACAATCTTCTGTACGAGAAAATTAGCATCTGTAAAAAAAAGAGGCACATGTAGATTAAATTGCTGCACAGGTAAATGACAATGTAAGGTACAGATGTCCATATGTGTCGCAGTTAATATCATAACTGAATGAATATTTGCCCAAGATTTCTCACATTGCACTCTTCTTAACTTACATATCTCATTTTGCTTCTCTAAAGACAACATTTCCATAATGTGGTGTCTGAGCATGCATCCCTCCTTCATGAAGAAATTATAGGGTGTATCCAGACTTTCGTATACTGTCAATGTACGTCTTTGTACTTTCTCCTTGCCTTTCTTACGCTTTGCCACGCTCTTGGAGCGTGCATGTTTTTCTTGCTTTACTTCCAATAGGCTGAAGATGTGTAAAATTCAACATTCCCTTATAAAGAATATTATAAATAATATAGTCGTGCAGTTTGTCCGTATTTGTTGGGTATGTTTTACTATGCTTAATTCACATTATTACTGCAAAAGTCCTACAGTCAACTGAACTGAATACCCAGTTGAAAAAGCTCACCTGCACAATCGCTTTGTGTACTGTTTCAGATTTTCGAGCAGCTCGGATTTAAGTCCTCCATCAGCAAGCTCCTCAATAGCCACACGCAAACTATTTTTGAATGCTTTTCTCCTGCCTTTATCAAGCTTTAACCCTAAATTAAAATGAAAGTATTGAAGTTAATCACACAGCGCACTGCTCCACGGGAAACACTAGCAGCGAATTAGCTCTAATAGTAATACTATGAGACTTGTTCACAACAGCTAGGTGCCTGTGGTGAACAAGGGCTATAATACTACCAGGAGTAAGATAATATAGGTATATTATCTTACTCCTGATACTACTAGTACTAGAGCTAGCAGTAAGTCAGTGTACAAGTTCTCTCTGATCAGCAAAATTCATTACAAAAACTTCGGTGAGGGTATTTGGTCAGAGGAAACTCAGACTAGCTAGCTGTGAATGTAGCCGAGAAGAGCAACCTCATTACCTCATAACGATTCATCTTCGTGATACATGCGTCTAAACAGAGGAATTGCTCCGACCTGTGATTGGAGGATAAACCCCCCCCCCCACCCCTGTAGATCCGCCACTGTAGTGGATTTGCACCAGATACGGCTGCTGTACCCGTAGCCACAGCAAATTTGTAACTCAAATATAAGTATCGCTGTGGCTATATGCCCGGCAGCCGGGCACGGTCTTCGATTTCCTAAATGCCCGGCAGTTTTTAATTTTTAG